CCTTTTTGGAGGATTTTGAGGATAAGGTAGGTTCTTCAACTGTGGTACCTGTTTCTCACCTTTCTCCCTCTTTTTCTCTTCATTTTTATTTTTTTCTTCTTTTTCTTCTCTTTTATTCACATACTCACTTTTATTTTGCTCTTCCTCTCCCTCACACTCATTTTTCTCTTTTTCATTTTCTCTTTTCTCCAAGACTTCCTCCCCCACAACTAGGTTCTCTCTAATCCCTCTTCCTATAATTTTACTACTCCTGGTAGTAATTGATTTACAATGCTCCTTAGGATTAGTCTAAGTGTTGGTTGAAAAATGACCTGATATGATAACTGTTTAGCCAATTGTCCAACCTGTGTTTCAATATTTCAAAATGAAGCTTACGTATTTTTCCGATTGGTCATTGATATCAAATATACACAATTTTAAACAACGAGTGTCATTATTGCATATGAAAATTTACTATTTTTTGGCACTTATCAATCATTTATATTCTTTAAAATATTATTTTCTTATATATATTTATTTTTTACTTTAATAAAAATTATAAGACAATTTTACTTTTCAGATAAATACACTTTAAAATTATTATTGAAAGCTTAATTAAACTCAATTTTAAAGACGGGATATCAATAAAGATCATATGTCTCAATTTTAATTGTTTATTTTTATCATTTTTAATATAAATTATATAATAGTTTATTTTTAATATTGATTTTTAAATTTAAAAGTACCTTTTACATTTAATATACAAAATACTTACTAGTTTAAGATATACAGAAATATAATATATTGTAATTTTAATTTTCTTCACTCACAATTTTGGTTTTCTATTTTTTTCCTCAATTCTCATAATTTTTTTTAATTAGTTTCTAATTTGTAATTTTACATAAGTTTATTTTTTATTTCTTACATTTTTCTTAAAGGTATATTAAAATAGTTCGTCATATCTAAGAATCAATAAAAGCAGAACTAAAAATTTATACAAAAAATAAAAATAAAATAAAATTTTGGATTTTTAAAACTAGGAAAAAAATTGCCAAAATTATGGATCAAAATTAAAGAGGAGCATAAACTATATTTTTCTTAAATGTGTGTGAAGCAAAGACAATAATTTTTTTACTATTTTAATATGAATACTGTGGTTGAAGAATATATATATATATATATATATATATATATATATATATATATATATATATATTTTTTTTTTATTTATATATTTATTGTCGACGATGGGTTGTATTTGTGTATTCAAAAAGACGTGTGACGATTGTGGAAAATTAATGATCAACAAACGCGGATTTCAAATAATCAGTTTCACACTTATTTTCCCCGAGCATAGGCTACTTGGGTGTCTAATTTTTTCTGGAAACAAAGGTTCAAGTCAAGAACTAAGTGGTTCTTCTTATGTAAAATAAAAATAAATTGGATCTTATTATGTCAAAAAGCAAGTGGATTTTATTTTCAAATACAACAATGAAATATTTATGTTATAAATTTCAAAATATACATTTAAAATAGTACAACCATGATTAATTAAGGAGAACTTGTTTATAACGATGAAGACAAGTCATAGCCATCTGATATATAATTATGTTTAATGATTAATTTGCTATTGCGTATATATTGCCACAAAGTAAAAATAAATAATGATATAGTCCAACTTATAATTTCTAATAGGTAATAGTTTAGGTTTTAATAGGTAATAATTTAGGGTTTAGGTTAGACTAATGGATTAATTTTAACTTGATTGCAAATTAAATAAATTATTAATGTATTTATATAAAAATAATTAATTTAAAAATATTTAAATTTTTTAAAATTTAAATTATATTAATAAAATTAATTTTTAATTTTAATATAATAATTTAATATATAAAATATAAAAAAATATATTTAACCTAAAATAAGAACTAAAAAATTATTTTTCATTATCATTATTATTTTTTAATGATTTATCCATAATATTTATCTTAATCATTAAATTTAAAAATAAATAGATATTAGATAATTTTTTATATATTTAATTTTAATTATTAGATTTAAAAATAAATAAATATTAAAGTAAAATTTTTTATATTTAATTTTAAAATAAATAAATTTTTTATCAAATTAATTTATAATATATATTTTTTAATAAAATATATTATTATTATTATTATTATTATTTATAATAGATTAACTCGTAAATTAATGAATTAACGTGACTTAGATTTATATAAATCATCATGTAAATAAATTAAATTAAAATATATCTAATTCAATTCAGATTATTTTATCTATTTGTTGAAAATTGATCTATTCATTTATACTTATTTTAATATCTCTAATTTTTATATATGTAAATAATAAATTAGATACATCATCACATTATATTTAAATAGCTAGAATTAATTTTTTTTTAAGTTATAGTATAAACAGTAACATTATTTTTAACGATGGATTCTCCGTATAACCGGGGAATGTATTTAGAAGTAATTTTCCCACTTCTGTAACTTCCATAGTTAATATACTAAAAGAATATTCTACTTATACTAATAATATGTTAAATATGAATTGATGATAAAATAAATTTGACATTTTAAAATTGATGACGCAGGTTGATTGGAATGAAATAGACTAACTTATTTTTAAAAAATATTTATATATTAAAATTAAAATAATAAAAATTATAATTAAAAATATCATATATTTTGTATTATATTGTTGAAATATCTAAATATATTATAATATAATAATTTAAATTATAAATATTAACTAATTAAATTAAAACTATTATTTATAAAAGAGTATTTTAATATATAAATATTATAATTTTTTAATTTATCTAATTAAAATATTAATTATTAGATAAAAAAATTAAATTATTTATATAATTAAATGTGAATTTAAAAAAATAAAAATAATTATATAATATTTAAAATTAATAGACTTATCTACTAATTTTTCAACCTACTCCTTAACATGATAAGTTGAAATTTATAATAGCTTAGGCCAATCTCTTCCGTTACATATTTAACGAACTAGTAATGGGACGGAACAAACAAAACGGGGTAGACTATTTTGCCATCCTATAAATATAAAAACATATCTATTAAAAGTTATACAGTAAGAAATGACAATGATAAATCTCAACATATAATTTTACGTAATAGTGAAAACGATGTTGGTGCTCTTAAAAGGCTTTAAGTGATATTGGGCCAACAGCAGCGTGTTGGGCCTTAGAAAGTGTTTATCTGTCAAATCAAATCAAATCCGTTTTGATGGCTTTGTTGGAGATGATGGGTCTCCAATTGTCCAATTGTCAAATCCTTTTGATGATGATTCAGTTCCTTTACCACCCCACATTGAGCCTGCTCCTGTAAAACAATATCCATTTTTCAAACACCTTTAAAATGATCATTTCAAATTTAATTAATTAAATAAATTATTTTGGGTAAACTGAGTGTAAACATTAAAAAATCGACTCAATTGAATACGCTAAAAAGAAACATTTGACTGGAAGGTTGATTGGTCAATCCTCACCATGGAAAAGAGAGGTTTGTTGTTTTCATTTGTTGGATGTTAAAATTCCGAGGCAACAAAAACAGTACAAATCTCGTTGACCCTTCCAAATTCCGATGGCACCCGTGATAAGCAATCCGACCCAAATAGACACAAATGAAGAAAAGATAGAAAACGCGCTTATGACTAGGAAGCGTTTCTTCCATCCTCCACCAAAGTCAAAATAGGAAAGCTAACCAAATACTGGTATAAACAATAGCTTCACTTCATTTTTTTAATCAATAAAGATAAGCCACAAACAATTTTATTTTCCCAACCCTTCTAAACAAACCTTCGTACTTTTCTTTTTTTTTTTTTATCGTAATTTGTCTGTTCAGACGTCATTGTAGTAATCTAAATAAATGTAGACGATTCTGGCATATAATATCCTGAGGACAAATCTTAAACAATATTTATAATGAAGGCTTTTCAATCACATATAAAATAATGTTTTTTATAATTTGATATAATAAACCTAATTTATTTATGTTTTTTACTTTTGGTGAATGCTTTTTATTAAGTTTTGAATTAAATAATTGAAAGCAAAATTTTATATAAAATATATGATAACTATTTTGGTTAGCGTGTTATAAGTGAAAGTTTTTATAGATGACTATATATTTTTTGTAAGAATTTGAAGATTAATTTTGATAAAAGCATGTTATTTATTAATTTGAAGAATAATTTTGTGTAGCATTGAGTATATATATAAGCATGTGGACATTGAAAATACGAATTAATAAATTGATAGGGGGAACAATAAAGAAGAGGAGCGGCCGGTGACAAAGTAAAAGCGTGGAGGTTGAGTGTGGTGTTGCTATTACAATCCCAAATTCAGTGCTATCACTTCAATTCTCATTCTCAATCTCAATTCTTCTTCTTCTTTTACTTCTTATTCTTCTCTTCCGATTTGGCATATACAGGTACCTTTTTTTCTTCCTTTTTATCATTCAGTTGAGTTTCTCTTTCTTGTCAACTCTCCCCTGTGGGGTGTTAGCTTCTTTCGATCTCTGCACAATCCTTCATCTCTTTCTTCTTATTTCTTTTTCTCATCTGCTTCTTTCAACTTACTTCTTTGATTACGCATGAGTGGTTATGATCTGCTTTTTTTCTTCTCCTGCACTTTTCACTCTATCAAACGATTCAGCTTTTTACTTCCCCGTAGGGTTTCTTTGAAATTTCTGGATTTCGATCATCTACTGGATTGAGTTTCTCTGCTGTCAATTTCGTTGCTGACTTCGTTGCATTTTTTTCTCTCTGTTTAATTTTGAGCAATGTTTTTGTTTTTACCACCTTGACGGAATGAACTTGGGTTTTTTGAATTTTAGATTGCTGATCAGATAGCTCTTAATTTTTGCTACGATGCACTCTACAGTTTTGAAAGGGCTTTTGTTAATATTGTTTCATTGAGTTTGCAGAAAGGTTGAAAGTAGAGGGACTTGACTCACTGGAGGTAGAGAGAGATGGCTAACAACGCTGCTGCCTGTGCTGAGAGAGCAACTAATGACTTGCTCAGCGGCCCGGACTGGGCTATCAATATAGAGTTGTGTGATATCATTAATATGGACCCGGGGTATTGTTCTCTTCTGTTCCTTTATATATCTCCCACGAATCACTGCTCAAATCTCTACCTGTGCTGTGCTTGGAGAGTCAGTGTATTTGCTGTAGGAAAACTGTCGTATATTATAATAATTTTTCTTTCAACGAGCATCTTTATAAGGACTTCTAGGAGAGCAAAATGAGAACATAAAAATGAAATAAGTTTCTCCCTAAGCTAAAATTAGCTTACGCTCAAGTTAAAAATAAAATTTAGAGAAGTTATATGAGAGACCTTCTACACGTTAGTTTATGCATAAGCTAATTTTAACCGGAAAAACTATTTTCAATTTTTTCTTTCCTGAAAGTCTTTTTGAAAAAAACTCGTCAAAATAGACCCGCAATTAGTTTTTATTTATGGAAACTTCCTGTACACTGGTTCAGTGAGTTCATTAGTAATCTTGCATCTCAAAGATGTAAACTTGATGTTTTTGTTTTAGAAAATAAGGACTGCTCTGGTACATCTTTTTCCCTCTTATATGTTGGTACAGGTTTTCATTGAAAAGGGGAGCAATGGACTTCTATTAATGTATCCCAAATATATAACTAAACTGAAAAAACTGATTTTTGAAGGATTGTTGGGCTGGAAACTATAGAAAGTTCTTATCACATAGAAGACAATGGTGAACCGTCTTAATTTTGATATTCAGTTCATCCAGTTGTACTTTGATGGCTTAATCACACTTTTGGTACCTTTAATTTCAAATTAACGCCCCCTTTGTTTTCAAATCAATGCATTTGAGTCTCCTTTTATCATTTTTCTATTGATGTGACGTCCTTTCGCTGTCATAGTATTATGGAGAAACACATTATCACAGTCAGCAATAAAGTTCACTTGAATACAGATACAAATTTTATCAATTTGAATATTGTGGACATTATGTTGTTTCATTCAAAACTAGGGGAATGAATCCTGCATTTTAGTTTTGGATCTCAAGTATGTAATTGATATGATTGTTTGTTATTTTGATTTCTCATTGCTATTCCTTGCTTAGCTCTTCTGTGTTGTAACTAATTAAATTTTACAGGCAAGCAAAGGATGCATTGAAGATAATCAAGAAGCGATTGGGCAGTAAAAATCCAAAGATACAGCTTCTGGCACTTTTTGTCAGTATTTCTGTTCTTTTACTTTTGGATAATTGTGAATATTTCTTTTACTTGGATATAATGTGTTAAATATATGTTTTGAGTTATTACTATATTTTTACACTTTTTAAAGGTACGTTATGCAAAGGTCCTCATGATTATAAATTTTTATTCTGCCATCATAAAATAGATTAGTTGTAAAATACATCAAAAAGCAATGATCACCTGACTCGGGTGCTTTATATTTTATCTAGGTACTGGAGACCCTCAGTAAAAATTGTGGTGAAAGTGTATTTCAGCAGATAATTGAACGGGATATCTTACATGAAATGGTTAAGATTGTGAAGAAAAAGGTATTTATTGGTTTTTGTTAGATATTGTTTAGATATTATTTAATATTGTTAAGATATTGTTAGATATTAACCATAATATCAAACAATAATATCTAACAATATCTTCTGTTTATTCTGTTATTTTCAGTTACTCTTTTAGTTGTATCTCTCTACTATAAATAGACTACCCTATGTGTGATTTATACACAAGGGAGATTAATCCCAAACTCTATTTCTTCTATATTCAACATGGTATCTAGAGCTTAAGGTTATTTTGAATTTTTTTTTGCCTTTGACTACTATTGAAGTCGTCACCACCGCCGCTATCGCTGTCGGTTATTTGGTAGTGTGAAAGTGCATGTCTAGGAAAGTTCTGACAAGGAAAGACTTGGTATTTAAGCATGTCCATTAGTGACCCACCTCTCTTTCCTGGAAACTTAACTGATGTACTGGTTCACGCCGCTGTCACTATCGCCTCTGCCCTTTATGAGTTCTTTCGCTCCTTTTAGTACTTCCAATTCTGTCAGTACTGCTTTTGATCCTTCCATCTACACTAACTATGTTAATGTGCACTTATCCATTGACAAGTTAACTGACCCTAATTATGCCACATGGTCATCAGACGTCAGATTATGGCTTAAGAGTCAGAAGTATCTTGATCATCTTGCCCCGAAAGCACCTACTCTCACTCCTGGTGAGGAAGACCGTTGGGACATCATTGATGCTCAATTATGCGTGGTTCTCAAGGGTACTCTTGATCCTTCGTTAAAACAAATTTTTCGTTCCTACGAAACATGTGCCAAAATCTGGGAACATGCCAAGTTATTATACACCAATGATACTCAACGTCTCTATGATGTCTCGTTTCTAAATTTGTAGATGTTATTGCCTCTAAACATCAAGATTCTATGACCGATTATATGGGCAAAATTCATGCTCTTTTTCATGAGTTCAATGAGTTATTGCCTCCTTCCCCAGACCCCGCCACCGAGATAGAACAACGATCAAAGTTCTTCATGCTAGGGGCATTACACGGACTTGCTCGATCAATATTCACATATTCGTGATCGGATTTTGGGTTCTCCGGTTGTCCCCACCTTGACATCGACTCGCTCCACTCTTTTGCGTATACCAACAAAACTCAACCCTGACACACCTGCTTCTGTTAATGATTCTTCTGCATTGGTATCTCACCGTGATGATCAAACTCGCCTTCGCAAACAGGGAAAAGGGCGTCCTAAGTGTGAACATTGTGGCAAACTAGGTCACAAGATTGACCAGTGTTATGCATTACATGAGTGTGAACATTGTGGCAAACTAGATCACAAGATTGACAAGTGTTATGCATTACATGGTCGTCCTACTCGATCTACTGCAGCTTGCTCGGACCGATTTTTTCCCACCTTTATCCGCTAAGGATCCTCCTTCTTCTATTTCATCGGACACACCTGCTATATTCAACAAATTTCTCAAATGGTATAAGGATCAACAGTCTTCTAGTTCCACTGTGTCTGTCACACACACAGGTACATCTTTTGTCGGTCTAACCCAATCTTCTTCGGTCCTTGGGTTTTTGATTCAGGAGTCACTCGATCATATTACCGGTAACAAATCTTTGTTCTCCTCTTTATCCTCTCCCGATCCTTTACCTTTTGTTATACTAGCCGATGGCTCTAGAGTATCATCTCATGGTGTTGGAACTCGTTAAACTTTTTCCTTCTTTAACCATTGATAATATTCTTTATGTCCCTGGGTCTCCTTTTAACCTCGTTATCCATCGATCGTCTAACTCGTTCTCTTGATTGTGTTGTTTTTTACCAACAATTTCGTGTGTTTACAGGACCGGAGTTCGAAACAGGTGATTGGCACAGGATGTGAGTCTCATGGTCTTTATCATCTTATTCCCTTTACACATGTTGGTGCGGTTATAGAGTCTCCCTCTCTTCTCCATGTTCGGTTAGGTCATCCAAGTCTTGCCAAGTTACAACAACTTGTCCCCGCCTTATCTAAATTGTCTAGTTTGGCATGTGAGTCGTGTCAATTAGGCAAGCATAGTCGTACTTCCTTTCCTCATAGTGTCACACGTGGTGCTTCGTCCCCTTTTGCCGTGGTTCACTCGACATTTGGGGACCTAGCCGCGTTAAGTCTACTTTAGGTTTTCAATACTTTGTTACTTTCATTGATGATTATTCCGAGATGCACTTGGTTATTTTTGATGAAAAATCGTTCGAATTATTTCATATCTTTCAAACTTTTTTCAATGAAATTCAAACTCGGTTCGGTGTTTCTATTAGAGTTTTGCGCGATGATAATGGTCGTGAATATCTTTCTCATTCTTTTAAACAATTCATGGCTTCTCATGGTATTTTGCATCAAACTTCTTGTGCTTATACACCTCAACAAAATGGTGTAGCTCGAACGTAAAAATAGACATCTTATTGAAACAACTCGCACTCTTTTAATTCATGGAGAGGTTCCTCGACATTTTTGGGGTGATGCTCTTCTTACTGCGTGTTATCTTGTTAATCGCATGCCATCTTCGGTTCTAGATAATAAAATACCTCATTCCATTTTATTCCCTCATGAACCACTTCATCCCTTACCTCTAAAAGTTTTCGGGTCTACATGTTTTGTTCATAATTTTAATTCTAGTCTTGACAAGCTTTCTCCTAGATCACATAAATGTGTTTTCTTAGGGTTTACAAGATCACAAAAAGGACACAAATGTTTTTCTCCTTCTCTTAACTGTTATTTTGTGTCTGCAGATGTCACCTTTGATGAGTTCTCTTTTTATTTTAAGAGTCAATCTTCATCTCTGTCTCCATCTAATCTTGTCAACACTTCTAGTACATTTAATGTTCCTGTTGTTTGTGACCCTCTAACTGTGTCTTCTTCACCATTAGATTCTACTCCGCAGTCAGCTTCTTCTTCACTGCCTCTTCAGGTTTATAGTTGTCGAAACCAATCACAACCACCACCATGTGACTCTACTCAAGTGCCAACTACTCTGTCTCCTCCGGATGTGACACCTGAGTCTGATCTTCCCATTGCCCTCCGAAAAGGTATCTGTTCTACATGCAATCCCTCTCCTCATTATATTGGTTTGAGTTATCATCGATTGTCATTACTTTTTTATACATGTCTTTCCTCTCTTTCTTCTGTGACCATTCCAAAAACTGTCCGTGAAGCTTTAGCCCATCCTGGTTGGCGTCAGGCCATGTTAGATGAACTAAGTGCTCTTTATAATAGTGGAACTTGGGAATTGGTCTCGTTACCGTCTGGGAAATCTGTTGTTGGTTGCAGGTGGGTGTTTGCTATCAAAGTTGGACCTGATGGTACTATTGATCGCCTCAAAGCTCGTCTTGTGGCCAAAGGTTATACTCAAATTTTTGGGTTGGATTATGGAGATACGTTTTCCCCTGTGGCAAAGATGACTTTTGTTCGTTTATTTATCGCCATGGCCGCTCTTCAACAATGGTCTCTTTATCAACTAGATGTTAAAAATGCTTTCCTCAATGGTGATTTGCAAGAAGAAATCTATATGGAGCAACCTCCTGGGTTTGTTGCTCAGGGGGAGTCTTCTGGGATGGTATGTCGTCTTCGCAAATCCCTATATGACCTAAAATAGTCTCCTAGGGCCTGGTTTGGAAAGTTTAGCAAGGTTGTTCAACATTTTGGTATGACTCGGTGTGAAGCAGATCACTCTGTCTTTTATCGACACTTAAGTGCTGGATGTGTTTACTTGATAGTATATGTTGATGACATCGTTCTTACAGGTAGTGACAACCATGACATCTCTCAGTTGAAACATTTTTGTCACCATTTTCAGACCAAAGATCTTGGCAAACTTAGATATTTATTGGGTATTGAGGTGGCACAGTCCAATGATGGTATTGTTATATCTCAGAGGAAGTATGCCATAGATATTTTAGAGGAAACTGGGTTGATGAATTCAAAGCTTGTTGATACGCCCATGGATCCCAATACTAAACTTTTACCAAATCAGGGGGAGCTTATACCTGATCCTGAGCAGTATAGAAGATTGGTTGGAAAATTGAATTATCTTACGGTTACTCGTCCCGACATTTCCTTTGCGATCGGTGTGGTAAGCCAATTTCTTAATTTCCCATGTGAAGATCATTGGAATGCGAGTCATTCGTATCTTAAAGTATATTAAAGGATCTCCTGGAAAAGGATTGTTATATGATTCTAATAACCATACAAGAGTTGTTTGTTACTCGGATGTCGATTGGGCAGGATCTCCTTCGGATAGAAGATCTACATCCGGATATTGTGTCTCCATTGGTGATAACTTGGTCTCATGGAAAAGTAAGAAACAAAGTGTTGTGGCAAGATCTAGTGCGAAGCGGAATATAGAGCTATGTCCTCACTGCTTGTGAACTTGTTTGGCTCAAGCAATTGATTAGAGAGTTACAATTTGGAGATGTCACTCAAATGTCACTTGTGTGTGACAATCGAGTCGCTTCTTCATATTAGTTCTAATCCTGTCTTTCATGAAAGGACCAAACACATTGAGATTGATCTGTCATTTCATTCGAGAAAAGATTATGTCTGGAGACATCAAGACTGAGTTTGTTAACTCAAGTGATCAGTTAGCGAGATATTTTTACTAAATCTTTACGGGATCCTAGAATTGATTATATTTGTAACAAGCTTGGCACATACGATTTGTATGCTTCAACTTGAGGGGAGTGTTAGATATTGTTTAGATATTATTTAATATTGTTAAGATATTGTTAGATATTAACCATAATATCAAACAATAATATCTAACAATATCTTCTGTTTATTCTGTTACTTTCAGTTACTCTTTTAGTTGTATCTCTCTACTATAAATAGACTACCCTATGTGTGATTTATACACAAGAGAGATTAATCCCAAACTCTATTTCTTCTATATTCAACAGTTTTGACACTTTATATTTCGTTTTAAATGTTCCTTCTGCCATTGTATTTTTGTATTTTGGAAATGGGATACTTTCTTATTCATTGCTGTCTTCTTTTACAGCCGGATTTAAATGTGAGGGAAAAGATATTGATTTTAATTGATACATGGCAAGAAGCTTTTGGGGGGCCAACTGGAGTTTATCCTCAATATTATGCAGCATATAATGAATTGAAGGTGAGCTGTTCTGCATCTAGATATTACTTTCTGAAATTAGTTTATGCTTTGCAAGCAATAATTGTACGGTTAAATGATATGCATAATGCATATACGTCTCAGTTGCTGTATGTTTGTACTGTTACAAATTTGAAATTCTTTCATACTTGAGTCATGTTATTCTTTTCTGCCTGTCTGTAACATATTATTTATAGTTGCTTTATTTATCCAGGGTCAAATTAACCTTAGGTCATCATTGTTTTTTCTAGTATTTTTATTTAGTGGGTAAATGAGTTACATGTTACATGAGCTGCATCCAACTGTGAGCTTGCATTATTCAGTATCCAATCTTGGAAATCTCACCTTCTCAAATACATACGCAGACGTATTCTCAAATGCGTACTCATATGTAATTAATAATATATAAGAATATATCGTTACGCACACTAATAATATTTCAAATTCATTATTCTAAATTAATGTAATGCCTTTGATAATTAACAGTCTGCTGGAGTTGAATTTCCACCAAGAGATGAGAATAGCGTACCATTCTTTACTCCTCCTCAAACTCAGCCAATTGCTCATTCTGCTGAAGAATATGATGATGCTACTATTCAGGCTTCTCTCCAGTCAGATGCATCTGGCCTTAGGTGCTCTTTAAAATTTATCATGTTCATAATGTTCTAATCCTTGATTTTTGTTTTGTGGGGTGAGGTTAGTTTACATTGTTATTGTACATTTCACATTGTGCAAGGAAATTAACTGGGTATTTACCATAGTAATGGATATTGTGAATGGTTGGTTTCTTATTTTCAATTTAGGCATTTTTGCATGATTCTCCCTCCCTTCTTTCTATAACTAGATGTATATTTTACTGTAATTCACCATTCGTAAGAAATCTTCTCAAGTTGACTGGTTAATGAGGTTATTCGAAAATTTGTTCACTGCTACTCTATGCCACACACACGAACACTGTTAATAATGATGTTTTCTGGCCAGTAAGTTATGTTGTCAATGATGGCTGTACCATGGTGAAGTTTATAAATTTTATTTACCTTGTTTTCCCATGCAGAATTTGTTCTATTGCAACATTGCTGACCATCACATTGGACAGATGCATTTAGGATTATTAATTCCCTTAGGTTAAGATATGCTAGTGTATTAATTTATTAAGGAAAATTTTCTTACATAACATTGTTCTATTTTTTGTTGTTCTAGGAGTTTGTTGTACCTCTGTTATTTCTCGTAATTAGTCATTCTTCTATGAAACATGAAAAAAAAAAAAAAATGTTGGTGTTTGCTTTATCCCTCTCATACTTGATTTGCTTATAAGCAGTTTGACAGAAATTCAAAATGCTGAAGGACTAGCTGATGTGTTAATGGAAATGCTTAGTGCCTTGAATCCTAAAGACCATGAGGTGATATTATTATTATTATTACTTCTAGTTCCTTTGCCAATGGCTTCATTCTGGACCTCTGTTCAGTTTTTCTTGTTTATGAAAGTATGCATAGGTTTGAGCTTTGAAGTTGCTGAGTTTCTGTATCCATCTTTTCATATCCTGCTAGTTGTTGTTTAGTACTATGGAATTCTGGATTTGGGTTTGATTCCATTCGGCAAATTCAAATAAGTAGGTTGTGAGAATAAGTAATATTCTGATTAAGTTGAGACATTAAGAAGGATGCCTTCCCTCTTACGCTCTCACAGACATATGTGCATAATTTGGTCAGACTCGAATATGCTTTTGTGTGACTCTAGGGTTTCTTGTTATTTTTCCTTCATTCTATAACTTGGCCCGCAGGTATAAATTTTCCAGTCTCAATATCAAGATCTTTCATGATTTACAAAACTTAGTAGGCCCAGATCAAGTTACTTGTTGTGTAGTGATTGGATAGAAATAAGCGTAAGTTATCACTCAGAAGAATAAGAAAGCTGTCAGGGTACATTCATAGTTTGAACAGATCACTTATTGTTAGCCCCTTCCCCTTTTCCAGTTTTAATGCATAATTTGTTAAGTCTTGCTTAACCTGATGTTCTTAATACACATTCTATTTAGCCGAGGTTATAAAGTAGCTAACTAAGAAATGTTTGGGGCATTATACTACAGAACAGGACTGGATCTATAAAAGCATTCCTTGCAAGAGCAGAACTAGGATATAATTCAAACTTAATGCTTTTGCTTGTTGTGCTATTAAATTTCAGCGCAAAACTGTCGTGGCAAGTTGTCATTATTCATTTGTTTCTTATTATTTTGGACAAAATATATCAGGGTGTGAAGGAGGAAGTGATTGTTGACCTTGTTGACCAGTGCCGTTCATACCTAAAGCGGGTCATGCTTCTTGTGAACAGTACTACGTACGTATTTTTTTCCCTTCAATTACTTAGTCTCTTTTTGTGCAATTACAAAGAGTGGCTGTAATGGTTACTATTTTCAGGGATGAGCAGCTTCTAATCCAGGGATTGGCACTGAATGACAGCCTTCAGCGAGTGCTCCGTCGGCATGATGATATTGTGAAAGGAACTGCTGATTCAGGTGCTAAAGAAGTAGAAACTTCAGTTCTGCCACTTGTAAATGTAAACCATGAGGATGATGAACCAGAGGAAGATTTTACTCAACTAGCCCATAGGTGAACCCCAAAAGTTCTTGTGTAGTTTACTTTACTTTATCTTTCTTAGTGCGCACAATTTTGTTGGGGGCGGGGGGTGGGTGGGCTAGTCATAGGATAGTCTTGACATCATTATATAATTGATATGATACCCTTTGTAGTTGATATATGTCTCCCCTGTAACCATGACATGAGATCCTCTATTTCCCTTGCCTTTTTCTCTTTCTTTTCAGTTTCATAAACATTTAAATACCATGATTTCAGGTCATCACGTGATACTCTAGTACAGAATCGGAAACCAGTCTATGACAAGGTAGAACCAGGGAGGATAAACCCACTTATTCCCCCACCGCCAGTATCAAAGAGGCCAGTCTACTCTGGCACCGGTATGGTTGACTATCTCAGCGGTGATACTTACAAGGCAGAAGGATCTCCTGAAAACTCGAACCCCACTTCAGTTGCAGCTCCTGTCCATTCTAGCCCTAATCCAAACTCATCATTTTCTTCATCTCGGCCGCATGCCGTGAGTACTTCATCACCAATTTTTAGCAGCCAGCCGGTGTACGACGAACAGCCATCTTCTGTGGACAGATCTTCAGAGAGTCTGCCACCAGCTCCCTGGGACACTCAATCTCCTGGCATCATTCCACCCCCACCTTCAAAGTATAATCAGAGACAACAGTTTTTTGAGCAGCAAGGTGCATCCCATTCAAGTAGTGGATCCAGTTCCTCTTATGACAGCTTGGCGGGACAAACTCAAAATCTCTCCCTGAATTCATCCTCCCCAACCAAACAACAGAAGCCAGAAGATGCCCTTTTCAAAGATCTTGTTGATTTTGCAAAATCCAAAACCTCGTCATCTTCCAAACCTAATAGGTCATATTGATATATTGTGTTTACTTTGCTTATGCTGGTACAGTTTATGAATGTTGCTTATTACGTTTTACTTCAGATCACTGAGACGACCGTTTTGTGGTTGTTTAGGACCCTTTGGATATGAATTGATCATGCGTGTATTTTATATCTATTGCGTATATCCATGTGTATTGTTCATATTGAATTTGTTGGCTTATGTTTTCAATAATATCAGATTCTTTTAAGCATCAGTGTATCTTTAAATTCGCTGATCTCAAAAAGGGAGTGAGTGGTTATTGCATAGGCAATTTTAAGCTCTTGCATAGCTGCGGAGTCCAACTGCATAGATCCTATTTGATGGTGGACAAATTTTGAAGGAATGTTCAAGCCCAAAAGCTCGTAAGCTAAGAGCATAATTATTCAGGAAACAGTTGGAGTTCGTGACTGTCAAATACCTGGATAGTGCTTTCATATCAGTGTCTGCTTCTTTGCCCAGGGAATTGAGAAAAGTTGCATGGGAATAGAATTATTCTTACTCAGTAGTTATAACTGAAAAGTCACTAGATCCAGCAAACATTTTGATAAGGAGTAGGACATAACCTCTGGACTAGACAACATAATCTTGCTTCATGAATGAGCTAATTCATTATTGTGAGGTGGCCTACAAATTTAAAAATTTATTGGAGGAATTTTTATTTTATTTGTATAATATCGTGCTTGGTTTGGCGTACGTGTTATCAGAATTTTATGAGATGTTTCAAAAACATTATATTAAAGAAAAATATTGTAAATATCGGTATTGTCTTTGTTTTTTAAATTTGTTACAATTTATTTATTATTTAATTGTTGTTAATAAATATTTATATTAATTATGTTTTTTTAATATTGTTGTAGGGACTCAACTACGATTTTATTATTTTAATATTATTTTTTTAAAAACAGTTAATTGATTGGATGAGATACTTAAAGAAAAATGAGCATTTGCATGAGATAATGAACGGTGTTGGAGTCACATGACGATCAACATTGCAGAGTCTATCAACTCTGTTTTGAAAAAAACAAGAAATTTACCCATTTGCTTCATGGTCAACATAACGTACACCCGCTTTAACACATTTTTCATTAAAAGAGGGAGGCAAATAGATATCATGATTTATGCTGTTCATGTATACTTTCAAATTTTGGTCACAAATTTAGGGGAAACACAAACATAGATGAACACGCATATGGTCATAACTTTTGACAGATCTACCACAAAATTTGTAATAGAAGAAACACAAAATCCACACCAAGTTCGATCAGCAGGGAGGTTTGCAGTTCGCCTTGATGAGTTGTGGTGTGATTATGGGAAATTCCAAAAATTTCACATGCCTTGTTCACATATTTTTGTTGCATGCAAGCATGCACACCATGACTTCAACAACTACATTCATCCAGTGTATACCTTACAACAAGTTTCAAAAATATATGAAACACATTTTGGGTTGCTGCAAATTGAACAATATTGGCCAACATATACAGGGCTTACTTTGTGTGTAAATCTAGAAATGAAAAAAACTTCAAAGGACCGACCAAAATTAAGTTGTATAAGAACTGCGATGGATATTACAAAAAATCAAAGTAGGATGAAAAAATGTTCATATTGTCATACCCCTGGTTATAACAGAAGAACATGCCCCAATCTTGCACGTACATCTATTTCGCATAATTAGATTGTGTTAATTAAGAAATGTCTTAATGTATGAAACTTAGGAGTTTTTCAATTAATAAAATTTCTTCTTTACTTGATTAATTTAGAGTAATTAATTTTTATTTATAGAAATAAATTATAAAGTATTATATATAAACATATAAATAAATTAGTTTAAATATACATTAAATAATTATAAATAAAAAATATATATCAAATTAAAATTAAAAAAATAGCTATTTATAAATTATATATATTATATAAATTATAATTATAAAGTTAAAAAAAATTATATTTAAAATTATAACCTTAAACAAAATTATAATTATAAAATTAATAAAAATATAACTATTTTTAATGTTAAATAAATTATATATATATATATATATATATATATATATATATATATATATATATATATATATATATATATATATATATATATATATATGGGTCCGGATTATAAATAGTTGCGGGTTTCTTCGCTTAAGCTATGAATTTCTCATTTGAGTGAGAGTTGACCACAAACTAAAGATCCAATAATGTAACTTGGATCACAACATATTTCAATTATTTCTCATTCGAGCGAGAATTCCGTCGCTTGAACGAAATTGAACTCGATAATACCTATTAGTTGCAGGTCTCTTTATTCAAACAATGAATTTCTCGCTTGAACGAAAGCTAATCTTGTATAAAATAATCGATTATAAAAATAATCGATTATTTTAAAGTGTGAACCATAAATAGTACTAAATGGGTAAATAATATTGCAAAGAAGCATATTGAGAACATAATTTTTTTAAATAATATTATTTATGAAAAAAGTATGCTAATCAATATGAAAATGATGATTGATCTTTTGAAACAACGTTGTATACCACCAAAGTACTTACCAAATTGTACGTTTAAAAAAGAAAAAGATAACAATTTCTCCGCAAAAAACAAATGATAATTTATTATTGTCGGCAGAAAATATAAACCCAATTGAGTTTGTATTTTTATTATCATTTTCAGTAACCGAATTGTGGTCCCATCTTCTTTTATTAGTAAGATCAATTTTTTACTTTAGTTAATATTTTCTTGTTGTAAGTAAGATCAATTAGCGAATCAAATAGTACAAAATTATTTCACCTTGATTAGTGATGTTTAATTCAAATCTGAGAATTGCATTGGTTTGAGCTAAGGGTAAAGAGGTTTGATTAGTATCTACAACAACCAATGTTCTAAATGTAGCCATTCTATACACACAAAAATATCATATGGTAATTAGAGCATACATATGTAGCTAGTACAATAAAAAGGAAAAATGAAGTAAAATCTATGATATAATTTTTTATAATAATAAAAAGTAAAAAAAATTATATTATACCTAAGTTCATTGGTAAACTTTATTTTATATTAATAAATCAATTTAGTTTATGTCAACTTTTTTTTATAAGATTTTTAAACTAACCTTTACAGCTCAAGATATAAAAGATAAACCTTTTTATTTTAAATTATTTATTTAGGAATCATTTTCTTGCATTTTCTATATCTTCATAATTAAAATAAATTCTATTTTATTTTTGGTTCGTAAATTTAAACCCAATTTCTAGAAAACTTTTGAATTATGTATTGTCGCAATTGTGATGAGAAAGTGAAAATATACATTTAAATAAAAAATAAAAAATAGAAAAAAATTGTCATTAATTTATTTTAAAAAAATATTTTTTAATATATATATATATATATATATATATATATATAAAAGAAAATTAAATCCAAAAATCGATTAAAAATATCAATATCTTATAAAATCCATTTAAAAATAATTACCTTCAATTGAATATATAAAAAAATATCTTAAAAATTATTTATTTTATCTCTTAAAATTATTTTATAATAAATTTTAAATTTTAAATTTAATAATAATAATAATAATAATAATTATTATTATTAAAATAGAAAACAATATATTTTTAATAATTTTAACTCAATAGAAATTATATCTATATTCTTACATATCTTTGTATATAATAAAGAATTAGAATTAGGGTTACATATTGTTTTTAGAAAAATATTTGTAAATAATAATTTTAACTTACCTTCTAAATTTTATTTAATGATTTAACATGATAATATAATGAAATGTTTATTTATAATTTAATAAATAATTACATTAATTTTATATTAAAATTAATTTTAAGATAATTAAATTAAAAATACATAATTTTATTTTATTTTTAAACAATAAAATTAAAAATACATTTAGGATTATCTTAATTATAAAAATGTTCTTTTAATTATTATATTTGCTTTTAAAAAAATTTAAATAATTTGGAGTTTTATATTTTTTTATCAATTTTATTTTTGTTTATCTATTTATTATTATTTTTTAAAATCAAATTGAAAATACGATAATTATGGTATTTTAAATAATAATCATTAAATTAACAATATTTTTAAAGTAATTATTATTATTATTATTATCATCATAAAATTATAAATATATTTTATATTAACAAGATAATTATGATAGATGTTATCTCCTCATAATATTATACATGTCAATCTTAAAATAAATAAAACAAGAACATTATACATGTCAAACTTAAAATAAATAAAACAAAAAACAGATAAAATAGGCTTAAATGTATAAATTAAATATTTTAAAATAGAAATGTCTTATAACTTTGAATATTATTATTTAAATATTTAATTAATTATTTTTTATATTATTATTTTACTAATAATATTTTAATTGACAACAAATAAATAATTTAACTTATAGTTATAATTTTACAGATCCAAAATTCAATTAACAATATTTTGTTTAATTTTTAAAAATAAGTTATGGGCCAATATATTACTCTGAGGCCCATTAAAATATTTTTCCCACACCCAAACTTAAAGTTGTCGCGAAAAGAAAGGGTAAAGGGGAACGGAAAATCCTTCCCGAACGCACACATTAAAATGAGTCGGAAGAGACATGGAAGGAGGTTGGTGAGCGAACCGCGCGACGGAAGCGACGAAGAAACCTACTGGCTATGACGACGCCAAGTTCTTTTATTTCCTAGTGTTAGGAGGAAATCGAGAAAAGCGATCGAAAATAAAAGAAATAAAAATCGAGAAACATGTGATTGATCGATAACACGAAGAGGTGAATGAGAAATCATTCGATGTCTAATTAGAAGGGCGTGACACACAAAACCAAGAAATTAGAGATATATGATGTTAAGGCTAAAAGAAACCAAAAGTAATACAAAGTTTTCGATAAAATCGAAGTCGAGGAGAAGGCTAACTTACGTGGATATCGAAACCCCGGCTAAATTGTGAAGGGGAGAACAGTCAAGCGTATATAC